AAGGCGTCAAGTCGCACAATCCTGGTGGCCAATTGACTTCGCTGTTTCGAGAGATGATGAAACCTGGGAACTTCTCATTGCATTTCTGTTTGAACGTCCATTTTCTTAATAGGCTTCGATAACTTTAAAACGTTGTTTGATTGTTGATCTTTCCATGGTTGAAATTGCCAAAGACTCAAGTTGTAAAATCTGAAAGAAAAAGAATAATGTCATTAAACGCTTAAACTTAATTCACGTTTAAAATCGGACCAAGTTATTAGAAGAGCCTTTACATATACATATATATATATATATATATGTATATATATATATGGAAAGATAAAAGATACACAAAGTTTTAAACATGAAATCAAGAAATTACTGAAAAATAATAAAATGAAAACTTGTCGAACATCACCCGAAAACACCCAAATTCTACAGATTATCAAAAACATAAACCAGGTATTCAATTGAGTCTCATTATATCAGTAATAGATAGCGCCCCACATAAACTAGTACACTAGCCAAAATTAACACCTCGCATGTAAAAAAAACATCTGGTGATCTTTTAACTAAGTTAAAAATACGTAGACGTAAAATACAAATATATGACTAGTTTAGATATAAAAACTTACAATACAAACGTTCTCGTAAAGAAATGTCTAAATTTACTTAAAATTTTCTAATAAAAATAAAATTTCCTCTTTCCAGAAATAAAATTAAAAAAATGTGCCAATTAATCACTATTCAATATTTTTTCACCTACGATAACAATGATGGGGTCACCTCTTAGCGGCGTTTTGGCTTGTCTATTCTTGAAATTTTTAAAAATTGGTACTTTCAAAAATATTTTACTGCAAAATTCTTATTTTAGATACATAGAGGATACACTTTTTAATATGTCCACACGTCTCAGTTTTACTCGATCTTGTTAACAAACTTAATAACGTTGAACCTACGATAGATTTTAATTCTGAATCTGAAACTAATAACACCTCCCTAGATATCATGCTATATAGAACTAATAATGACCTTTTGTTGGAGGTTTACAAATAATCTACCAACAAGAATGACCTCATAAATTTCTATTCATACAACAGCAACACAACATAATCTGTTATAATTGTAGGATTTTATTTACGACTAGCAGCATGGCCCGGCGTTGCCCGTGCTTGAATCAAAAATCATACGACTCATACAGCAATCGCTATCACTTGCCCTTCCTTGCCTTTAAAGGAGTGCCCTTGCCGTGCTGATGTTGCTACATGCCTGACTTCTTGCCTATCTCACACTGCGAATTTTTTCTAAGCTCTATACTAAACATTAAATCTGTTACGAAAAAAGAACTAAACAAAATGAACACAAAACGATCAGCTTTAAAAAAGGACTCGTAACTGGAAAAACCGAATGATAAAAGAATGTTAACAACAAATACTTTTTCACACCTAACACAGTTCTGCGGAATGTGAATCAACGTTGAGTTTAAGCCAACGAATGAGCCAATTGGAGAAAGTGCCATGCAGATTTAATTTTTTCCCATTTGTGACGAATGCAGCTATCGATTTTTTTTTTTGCACGCTAGCATGTTAGTTAACATTCGTGTCAGTCAGCTGTTGGCTCTCACGCTGGCCAATAGAATCTTCCTGCCTATTCGTGGCAGCCAGCTATAGGCTCTCACTCTGGCCAGTAGAAAATGGCCGCAAACTACATGAAAACTGCCGTAGAAGCATAAAAAAATCGATTATTTCCACTATCGATTATTTCCACTATCGATGGGAGTTGGGAAATGTAAAGTCGGTCTTGACCTTTCCACTAACTTGGAGCATGTGCATGTAAATTTTGGTGCAAATCCGTCGAAAATTGCGGCCGTGCATTCGTTACACACACACACACATCCTGCCTTTTATAGATAGAGATCACTAAGAATATGTAGCTTAAATTCAGGTAGTCAGGGTACTAAGGGGTAAAGTTCATTAGAACTCATAATGTTGCATTTGTGAAAGAGAAAATCTATGTTTCCTGTTCTGAAAGTAGCTTCAGGTATTCCAATTGATTTTGACAGCTGCCGTATTTTTCATCTTATGCAACTCTGAATAATGCTGCACAATTTATGAAATTCAGGTAAATTGCACTTCGCTGATATGAAACTCTTTTCAGAATGTTCTACAAGACAATACAGTCTCTCTGAAATTCATTTTATTCAGACTTTTATTAGTTTTCTTCGCTCAATGTGGGGGAAAATTGTCGTGAATAAACATTATTTTTTCAAGAGGTTTTTTTCATATTCGTGTAGCCCGTCAAATATAATTTGTTTCAACCGTTATTTTGAAATAATTTAGAACTCGCCATTGGCTCACCCCTTTCATTTATAATCTCACCCCTCACTCTGCTCCTGGTGGATATTGCGACCTGTTAATCCAGAAGCAACTCCACGTGGTCTTCTGTTAGTATATATATATATAGCGAGACTGTATATATCACCAGATTTCTATGACTCCCGCATAGATTACAGTAGCTAGTATTCCTCGACGTCCATGCATGTGAATAGTGATCAGGCTCAACGTTGCTTAAGCGATCGCACAAGAACCGTTGTTTCAACGTGATATGGTGGCAACCCACAGACTTCTAATCCAAACCCCCAAATATCACACCACATCTGTAAACGGTAAACCCTTTGGTTTGGTGTCGTTTCCGCCAATAACCACTGCGGTTTTGCTCAATCCGTCTGAACTATAAATGATTGCACGGTATTCGTCTGCAAAAAGAACGGTTGAAAAATTTGTCTTCATGTATTTTTTTTTTTTTTACCATTTCATCCCAAACAAGGCGATAAAGCCATTTGGACGCAAGGGTTTACTGGGAGTGAAAGAGAGGAAAAAGACTTTAGTGAGTAAAAAGGACGATAAAAGATCAGGTTTCAAGAAGACAGAAGATTGCATTTAAATTTTTGTAGATTGTAGACGACACGGAAGGAAGAAAACGGAAGGAAGTTTCACAGACGAGAAGTACAAGAAAAGAATAGAACATACGGTTACATCTCGGTAGTTCAACAGTAAAACGGGGAGACCTAATTGCCAATCTCTTAGCATCCTTATATTCATGAAGTCGAGACACCAAGGAGGCAGGTTCATCAGAACAATCGCAATGAAAATATTTGTACAAAAGACAGGGAAATCACGTCACGTCGGTAAGAAAGTGACTGAAGTCAATATCGATTACATTACAGGCTCTTCTTTGAATTTTGTCAAGAATCTCGGGATATATAGTAGAAGCATCAAACCAGACATGGCAGTAGTATTCAATGTACAGACGAATAGAGGATTGATAAATGTGGTAGATGAATTCTGACGAAAAAGTTTAAGTGACGCGACATAGTGAGCCAACTTTCTTAGCAGCAGACCTATTAATATAATGACTCGATTTCATATGAGTGACTCATTTCATTCGGTTTTCCTTATGATATATTTAAAGGTGTTCTGGTGATAGTTATTACATGTTTATTTTTCATTAATTTAGAATTTAATGCTTTTTCAACGTCTGAAAGTTTCTTACCGTAACGAAGACAGATTTTTGTAAGTCCTCTCTTGATACGAGATAGATCGACGGAAGAATACCCTCAACTTGCATCGGAATCGCCCAAGAGGTTCAAAGAATGTCTTTCGGTGGTACCTATTGACCATTTTTTTTGCAATTCCGATCATTTTATTTGTTATGTTATGTTTAAATTTTGTTAGCTTTGCAGTTATTAAACATTTCTTCTTAAAAATCCGTTATGTCTTCTGTACGACAAGTTTTAAAACTTCAAACGGGCAAAGTGGCTATTAATTTGAGACTGGCTTTCATCAAAATTGTGCGGAGAGATGCTGAAAAACATTTAGATTCCAATTATTTATTTGATATGGAGATAAAAACAGAAAGTGGCTAATAATATATATGACAGGTAAAGTAGCTAACAATATATATGATGGGTAAAGTAGATATGGCAGTTGATTCGATTAATTTTGATCTTAAACTTTCGCTGTATAATGTTGAAGCTGCATGATTAAAGGAAAAGCGTTTGGCGATGTATATTGACAAAAGAGATTATGTTGAAAAATAAATATTTGTTGTAAATGCGTTTTGTCATCCTTGGGCGACGGATATTGAAGATATTCATATTTCTGCTGTAGTGAGTATGATGTTCACTGTGTACGCCAAACCTGGGACTGCCAAACGAAGCTTAGCAAAAACCGACCATTATTCTTTTACCCTTTCATGTTATACGGTCTTTTTTCAGCTCCACATTTTCTATTCTTCAAATTCCCGCCAATAAAAAAAAATCATATCATATGTAAAAGTTTAATTTGAATCTTCTTCTATGCGCCACGTTACTTTAGGACATAGAATGTTGTGGAGAGCCATGGTCGCCTATCTTGCGTGGCCCTTTTCAGTTTTTGCTAAGTTCGTCAGTTAAGTGAATCGCTACCTTCCCCTATCTCACTTGCTCTCGATATGCTCCGTGATAATTCAATTTTTCCATGGACAGGCTGATTATATATATATATATATATATATATATATATATATATATATATATATATATATATAATCAGCCTGTCCTCCATATCACATCGCCCAGGCTTGCATCCGATCACACCACACTGCACCAAAACACCCTGCACTACACCTGAAAAGGACACTCCAGCTTCGCCTTTGGCGTCGACACAACACGGAAAACGGCAGTTACCGGTTATAAGCTACCACTCGATTGGCGTAGAGCCCAGCGCCAGGGGTTATTCTCGTCGGTGGGAGAGATTTTCGGATCTCACTGGACAGCTACCGCCCACCTCAAGCGGGACAGAATCCCCCACCCCCACCCCATGCCAGTAAGGTGTTGTCCCGCCACGGTCTGCCTTCTTCATTGGGTGCATGGAGATTAGGAGAGATCCGACAAGCAGACAGCAACCTTCGCACCAGGCCAATAACAATAATTTACAAAAAAAAAATCAGCTGTAAAACTGGGCTATTGGAACGTCCGGACTATGCTGACCGGCCTCTCTGAAGACCCCCAGGACATCGGCAACTCCAGGAAAACTGCTGTCATCAACGGCGAGCTCAAAAGGCTTCATGTGGACATCGCCACTCTACAGGAAACACGTCTGGCTGACTCTGGATCGCTGAAGAAGGACTATACATTCTTCTGGCAGAGGAAGAGCTCCGACGAACCACGGAGTGGGCTTCGCAGTGAGGAACGGCCTGCTGAATACGGTAGAACCAGACAGCAACGGCCCCGAGAGACTCGTTACTCTTCGCCTCAACACTACCACAGGCCCTGTCATCCTCGTCAACGTGTATGCCCCGACGCTCTCTGCCACACCGAACACCAAGGATGAGTTTTATAAGAAGCTGGCAATCTCCATCAGCAGTATCCCCAGAAATAACAACTTGTTCTCCTTGGCAACTTCAACGCCAGAGTGGGTGCAGATCATGACTTTTGGCCTTCGTGCCTTGGACAATTTGGCGTTGGCAAGATGAAAAACAACGGCCAGAGACTGCTCGAGCTATGCACTTAACACAACTTGTCCATAGCTAACTCCTTCAACTCCAAGCCCCAACACTCTTGGAGACATCCACGCCCAAAGCACTGGCACCAGCTGGATCTAATACTGATCAGACGAGCTACCATTAAGAACGTCCTTCACACACGTTCTTAACACAGCGCGAACTGCAATATAGACCACTCCTTGGTGTGATGCAAGATCAAGCTCCAACCCAAGAGGTTCCATCGCGGCAAGAAGCACGGGAATCCTCGCATTGATGCCAGCAAGATGAGCCAGCCAGACCTTGTGTGACAGTTTGTCAAGAGGTTTGAGAACGAGCGGGAAACCTCGCCGACCGGAGACTGCCACAGAGAAGTAGGCGACCTTGCGGGACACCATACACCGCACTGCCTTGGCCACCTTTGGGAGAAAGACCTCAATGTCATATGACTGGTTTGAAGGAAAGTCCACCAAGATAGCTCCCATCATTGTGGCCAAGCGCGCCGCTCCTGCAGAATACACGCGGTCACCCATCAAGAGAAACCTGCAGATCCTTTGAGCTGCCAGGTGCAAAGCTCATCAAACTGCCAGACGCTGCACCAACGAGTACTGGACAGAGCTTAGTGAAACCATCCAGAGAGCAGCAATTACAGGGAACATAGGAGGGATGTACAATGGCATCAAGACGGCAATGGGACCAGAGTAGAACAAGACAACTCCTTTTAAAGATGAATTAACCCATTAGTCACTCGATGAATGTTATGCTCCTTATTTTTTTTTAAAGTATAAACTGTATTAGGTCTTTCTTAAATATGCAAGTACTTCCGACGGGTCCTCCGGTCATCATCAGGCATCATCAGATAAGTTTGTATCTGTTATCAATAACACATTTCAAAAAACATATTTCGTTTTGCATTATATTTTTTCGACCCGGATGCTGCTTGAATTTTACAAAAAGAAAATAGTTTCCTTGTCTGATGATGACCGGAACACACATCGAAAGTACTTACATATTCGAGAACGACCTAATACAGTTTATAATTTTAAAAAAACAAGGATCATAACATTCATCGAGTGGTTAGTCGGTTAATGCATCTTTAAAATTTAGTTAGCGAAGTGATTTCGTCATTTTATATCATTAACTTTACTAATTTATTTTTGTATGAATGATTCATGAATGATTCATTGTAATATATATATATATATATATATATATATATATATATATATATATATATATATATATAGTTAAGTTACGAAAAAACTTGGTAATCCGTATGGGTAGTTCAAGGAAATCCTGAGAACTCAATGTAAATTCAGAGCTAATAATAATTTAATATATATATATATATATATATATATATATATATATATATATATATATATTAAGAAATGGACAAAGTCCGACAATTTATGTATTAAAGACATTTTTATGTGTAACGTTCTTTTTATAGATACAAGTATTTAAGTAAATGCTCTGTTTATAATAAAAAGTATTAAATAACATTCAGGCATTATTATAAACAGAGCATTTACTTAAATACTTGTATCTATAAAAAAGAACGTTAAACATAAAAATGTCTTTAATAAATATATATATATATATATACCACAATACCACAATTCTCGCATTAATATATATATATATATATATATATATATATATATATATATATATATGTCTTTATATATATATATATATATATGCTTTTTATATATATATATATATGTGTGTGTGTGTGTCTTTATATATATATATATATATATATATATATATATATATATATATATATATACCACAATTCTAGCATTATTTATTACATATTTATTTCATTGTTCACTCTTTCTCTCCCTCACTTTTGTTTCTTACGTTTCTTTCAGTTTCACCCTTCGCTCCCAATCGTTTTCCGTCTCTTTTGCAGTCTTCCTTTGTTTCCTCGACGTCTTTCTTTCTTTTTACTGAGTACCTTTTCTCTCTCGACTCTTTTCTTTTAGCGCGTGTTCATTTTAGCACTTCACTCCTTGTTTTCTTCTATATTTATTTACTTCTTTAAAATCGACCGCATTCTTTCATTTCTTTTTTTAATCTTGTCTTACTCTTCTCTTTGCCATTCTCACCAGGTATACATCCGTTTCTCTCTCTCTCTCTCTCTCTCTCTCTCTCTCTCTCTCTCTCTCTCTCTCTCGCTCGCTCTCTCTCTCTCTCTCTCTCTTTAAGTTTCACGCACACTTTCCTAAAAAAAAAATTATGCTTCATACACTTCACACGTATTTTCCGTCTACCTTCTTTTCATTTTCACGGCTTCTCCGCTTCTCTCTCTCTCAGTCACACACAGTCTTCTTTTCTTTCTCTTACTTTCTATCTATGGGTCTATCGTCTCTCTTCAGCATTTTTTTTATAATAATCAATTTCCTTGTAGCCTAATCGATAAATCTGTTATTGATTCATACAACTTGCATGCAAGCATTTCCATCAAAAGGTATGTAAATGCATTAGCGCATATATATAGAGCCTCAAAGTCTTTTATCCTTTATAAGAATGCATAATGCACAGCACACAACGGAATAACACAACGCACGCATATCGAGACAGATTCACACTGGTCAATCCATTAACCAGCACGCCGTTGCCAGCACCTCTTCACATCTGTACTGACGTAAAATAAATTGGATTTCAACAAGACCTCAAAGAGATGCATGTGAACACCTAACCCTAACTCTTCACCTAGTCCTACATAACACGCATCAGTTTCCACATGCCATACTAACCAGTTTCAAAACATATCGATAGTGGCAGGTGTTCGAATAGAGACAAAAGGTCGGTTTTATTGGTACTTGTGAAGTGAATCGAGTAAACCAATTTTCATAGGAAACCTAATAATGCATGAACTTATATTTGAAGATCGAAAGGCGAATTATAATTGTTGCGTTAAATAACCGGATTTAAAATTCGTTCTTTGATAAAAGAAAAATGATTAATTAATCTAACTGTTAATGACAGTAATTAATAATTAATAGACTTATTAATCACAATTAATGCAGCGGAGAATCCAATTATTAGAAATGAGATGCTACAGACTCTTCCTAGGCATCTGCTACACTGCCTGCATCACAAATTAAGTGGTGCGAGATACCATAGAACAAGAAATAGACCCATTGAAACATCGAACAACCATCGTCAAAAATATATATAGAGAGAGAAATATATATATGCATATATGGGGAGAGAGAGATAGATAGGGAGAAATATATAGAGAAAATATATATATATATATATATATATATATATATATATATATATATATATATAGTTGTAGTATAAATCACAGGTGGACTCTTTAGGTGTTGAGCAAGCACAAATGTGCCTGAGCGAGCATCTGCAATAGGGGTTGTCTATCCGCCCTAGTAGACGGCTATCCTCGAATACGAGTGGGAAGCTATTATATATATATATATATATATATATATATATATATATAAAAGAGAAGAGAGAAGCTGTAAATGTTTTTGGTTATAATGTGAATTTTGTGATATATGTTATACTTTATTTTCCATATTTTTGTATGGATATCTATATTATAAGTTTTTATGGATATACATATTATACTATATTTTTGTACGGATATACATATAATATATATGGATATACATATAATATATATAGATATACATATAATATATATGGAAATTATATTAGACTTCATTTTCCATATCTTATGTTTTTTGTGTATGGTAGACTGATCCAAGAAGAATTTGGATTACTACCTCACACAGAAGACAATGGTTAAACATATGAAAAAATAGGAAAAACATTAATTCCTTTAAATAATACGTGGGAATAATCAATCTTCGTCTGATGAAGGTCACAAGACCCGAAACTCGTGTAGCAAGAAATATAGAAAATAAAGTATAATATGCAATTAAAAAAATCCCATTATAACCAAAAACGATTCCGACTTCTCTTTAAAATATATACTTTGTCTCGTTGGAACAACTAATCTCATCCTCATATATATATATATATATATATATATATATATATATATATATATATAATATATACAGAAAAGGGAAAAAAGGGAGAGAAAGAGAGGAGATTAAAAAAAAACATTTTTTATTGATACTCATAATGCAACAATATAAGTGAAAAGGCTAGCTAACCGGTTTCGTACCTCGATCAACAGAGCTAAATCGAGGCAAATTTATAATGATAAACAATCTATGAAGTGAAATGGAAAGGGAAGATAAAAAAAAATTATTAAATTGAAATTACATTAAAACCAAGTAAAAAATCCTTCTGTTTACACAGAGGTATTTTAGATTCAATATATATAGCCTCCAAAATTTTTAAATGTTAACGAGAGTGTGACTTGTTGAGGATGGAAAACCAGTCAATACTAAAATTAGAAACGCAATAAGATGCTCTGGAACTGACTACCCGTATTTATTACTCAGAACGTCCGAAGGTAAATAATTAGAAGTACGAATTTTCGTAGGAACGTGTTGTCTAATCCTAACATCTAATCTTTGATTAGTTCTTCCTATGTAGTGCAAACTGCAACTACATTTAAATAAATAAATAACAATATTATTATGGTGGGGAAGAAAAACGTCTTTTCGAATAGATGTCAATATCAGTTCGGTAGAAAAAAAAAACAACACGTGTGTTATAGGCGAAATAACATTGCTTTCCAGCCAAAGAAATTTGCTTCGCGTATCTATCACTAATGTTACCCAGTCAGGAAAGTAAACTGGACATCTCTGCACAAAAGCAGGTTTCATTTTCATTTTATTAAAATCGGAAATTTTATTACTGATAATGGATTGAACAATGTCTAATGGACAGGCATTGTTACAGAGGCTCATGGTAATAAACTTGATCTCATCATCCAGGTTGGTCTTAGAAGAGATCATTAAGGCCCTATGTGTAAGCATGTTAATTAAATTAAGCTTTTATTTCGTGGGACAAAAAGAGTCCCAACGGGTATATAGACCAGTAAAGGTCGGTTTTCGGTACACCGAAGTAAGAAAACTAGAAGTTCTACATACAATGACGTCAAGAAAGGGAAGAGAAGAATTCATTTCCTTGTCCAGTGCAAACTTAAGAACTGGATTAATGTTATTGAGGGATGTATACAAAAAGTTTGCTTCAGTGTCATTGCTGAAGAGAAAAAAGTATTCATACACATCCAAGAACTACCCTCTTACTGACAAATTTGAGTTCTTTTGACATATCTAGATTTTTACCTGTGTCCCTCTTACAGAGACTATTATCCCCTCCTCTCATTTCAGGAACTATTTTTGTTGAATTACTGAAATTTGCCACAATGTCGAATTCACTTTTGACGGCATCATGACACAGACAAATTGATGGAGTCTCAATGGATTCTACTCTGGGACCGGTGTTAGCTAATATCTTGGTACGTTTTCATGAAGATGGTTTGTTGTTTGGTTTTAATAGACCTGATGTTTACTTACGTTATGTGATATATATATATATATATATATATATATATATATATATATATATATATATATATATATATATATAGGGAGCGAGAGAGAGAAATATGTATAAAGAGATGGAAAAAAATAATATATATATATATATTAGAAATTAATTGATTTAAAATATGTTTTTTTTCGCTACACAGTTCTAACAATGTTTCAAAAATGGAAGCTAAAAGCCACGAATTTAATTTTGCAATTAAATTAAAGACATTAGTTCCATTTCATCCTTAAGCGAATTTTGGAGTAACTTTTAAAATTACTGGGTTTTAAAGACACAGCTAAAATCACGTTTCCATGGTTACAGATAAATCTACTTCAACTGGACAAGGGGTATCTGGGTTTTCCTTATGCCTGTATAATTGTATCGGTTATTAGCTACATTTTGGTAAGGGGTAGGGATGTATTTTTCAATGAAAACTGACATCCGTTGAATGCATTTAGTAAATCAGTGAAATTAAGTAACTATTTTTGCCGTCATTGTCATAAATTTTACTTAAATAATATTAAAAAAAAATTTTAAAAAATGTGACCTAATATACATACTTATACTGAGTGTTGACTTCAATGTTCACTTTTATATTTACGTACGCTCTATCCCTGATATTGAGCACTTTATTCCATAAATATAGCACACCTTAAAACTATATTTCTTAATAGTGATATATATATAGAGAGAAAAATATATATATATATATGTGTGTGTGTGTGTGTGTGTGTGTGTGTGCATGTGTGTAGAAAAATATATATATTATATAGTAATATATATTATATATAGTAATATATATATACATACATATTAATATATATATGTATATTTTATCAATAAAAAGAATGAATATCGAATATATATATATATATATATATAGAGAGAGAGAGAGAGAGACAGAGACAGAGAGAGAGAGAGAGAGAGAGGGAATATACATACATATATAAAGAAATTATCGGACGTCATTTAAGCTCGCTCCTGGGGAGGACTCTTGATTGGGCTTTAGGCTTGTTCATGAGTTTGAGAGTCCCTAAATCTTTGCATATTCCTAGCATAGGAAGCTCTCCTCTCTGCCGTTTGATTTGGGTTTTCCATTGCTTGGGACTTGCTTTTCCTCTCTGCAACCTTGACGCTTATGATTGCAATCTGGTCCTCTGTTAGCGGAGATTTCTTTTTGCGAGACATAATGCTACCGTATGCGATAGGCAACAATAAACTACAGAAGTACTCAAAATTGATGGCTGCTTTTAAGTATTGCATTAATATTTATGTTTACCTTAGATGATAATTCTTCTGCCGTCACTTAATTTAAAGAAAAAGTATAATCACGTAAACAGATCGCTGAAAATAATCGCAGTGATGAAAAATTCAAAATTTCTTTAACATGAGCTATTGAAAGTTAGATAGTTGCGTCCCTTTAATTGAAAAAGTATGACACAGTTACAAACTGAGATTCGCATTTATTATATAGATATACATATTATCTTACACTGTTAATACGACTCGGAGTTTCATGCCAAACGCAATCTTCAGGCGCTGATTTTATTTACATACATCGTCTCAAAATAACAAGCTACATCTAATATTTGGAAGACCTTCAAATTTCTGAGATTTAAAATTGACTCATCATCCAACTTAAAAATCGTTAATTTCCTAGATGTTACATTTAATTTCTTCAATAACACCTACGAACCCTTCCAAAAAAAACCATATACATAAATGTCAACTCGAACCACCCCAAAGCAATCATAAACCAAATTCCCAACACAATCAACGCCAGAATAAACAAACTGTCATCTAGCCGCATAATTTTTAATGAAAGCAAATTTAAATACAATCAAGCCCTCTTAAAGAGTAAATTCCAACAGACATTAACCTATATAGAAAAACCAACAACGCGTCAAA